TATCACCTCAAGTGTTTGTCAGGACTTTGATAATATAACACGGAAGTATTGTTTATTGGAAATGAGTAACATTGACAGGTGTTTTACAATTGATATTAATGATAAGTATTTAGCACTTTTTCGGTTGCACCGATATTTGTGATTTTCATAAATAATGAATGTCTACTCTTTTATTAATAAATGCTTTGACGTATGTATACCTCCTTTTTCAAATTGCTCCGTATAATATCAGTAGTATTTGCAAAATAAACATAAACAATCGATCTATTAGTGTATATACAAGCATTTCATTTACTATCTATAAGTTGTTGCGGGTTTATTCGTTGTATATACATACAAGATGTATGCGCTTGACACCAGTGCGCATGCGCAAAGCCGGTATCCTGTGTTAAAATCGCGGTCGTATAGCGGAGAAGAACAGTGAACTTTTTCCAAACATATATTGAAGAAGGAAACGAATTTTATAAATAATTCATTAAAAACACTTTGTTCTCTATTATTACTACAATAAATATCCATTATCAAAACGTTCAATCCATTATTAAAATACAAACAGAAAAGATTTTCTTTTAATTACACTTTAACAAAACTCACACTATTATTTTTAACATTTTTATCATCTTAACATTAATGCAGTAATGTATACAAGTTGAAATGTGCATCAAGTACACCGAGGCTTTTAGAATCATTAATCATCAATCAGAAACGTGAATAAGTACACGTTATTCGGCTACAATGAATACTCCTGTTTTTTTTTTATCATTCATAAAGAAAAAAGTGAGTTAATTTTAATCTGCATGCACATTAGTTTTATTATCGTTATTATAGATTGTGTACTAATCCTAAGAGTAATCACGCTAATTCGCGCAACGTGCGCATGCGCATGCCCGGTGTATCCCTGCGTTATCCCCGCGCTTCCTTAATAAAAATCGCGGTCACAGAATCAGCAGAGTGGGTGCGCATGCGCGACTAGTATCGTGACGCGTGGCTTGAGCGTCAGTCTTCGCTTGTCCTCCGTGTTGTACTGACACGCGGTGCCTTCTTTATTTTTTTCTTTCTCTCTCTCTTTCTTCCCTTCTCTCTGTTCGGTCCTACGGCGCTCGTGGTGAAAGATTCGCCCTTTGCAAAATGGCGGCGGAGGCTACCACCAGGAGAAGGCTGAATGAATACGAGGGGAAAATGAGCAGCAAAAACGGCTTAACCTTTCACGAAGACATCGTAGCCAACGGTCATGCCGGTTTACAGAGCAACGGACGTTTACAGGTTAGATCGTCACCTGTCACACGTAATTAGCCTTAGTTTCGAACTTCCGCTACCCAAATTAACTTTTTTTTAACGGTTGAAATTTATTGGGAATTAGTGCAACGCACGGTAATAGATTCTGATGTTTCTCGGTCAAGTACTTACAGTACTTGTTGACCGTTTTATTTCCTTGTGCAGTACAAATCAATTTCACATCGATGTTACTGATAAAAATTTCTGGATCGCACTTTTAATATTGAAGTTAATAAAAAAGTACACAAAATTTGAACCTAGAATTCATTATAGAAATGTTGAAGGTACATTCCGTTACATGTTCTAATTATTTGTAACGTGTTTTGAGCAACTTTCAATTCAAGAATTTTCAATTTACAATCCGAGTCTTTCTCTGTGCGATATCGGTGCAACAATGTGTTTAAAGTTGTAATCATTATTAAATTCGTATTACTTGCATTTTTTTCTGTTTAGCAAGAGTTCTGCGTTTTATTTTGATATATATTGGACTTATTTAATATATATTTCATTATTTATTTTCGACTAATCACGTGAAATGCTGCGCCATGATAATTGCAACGTGGCTGGAATTGAAGCAATTAAGGAGAAAATAAATTCAGTGATCCGTTATTTTTTGACAAAGTATATATGACTAAAGATATGCGGCAAAGTGCGATAAAACGGATTAATTGTTTGACAGAATTATCTTTAATTGGCAGAACCATGACTATTCAAGTCACGAGGCTCTATTCGCTTTTATAACTTGTTGATTTAAAAATAATAGTCTGCTATGTTGTCTTTTCCATTAAATAAGTAAGTTTCTTCATTATATTGAGCATCGGGTTATTTTTCAACTAAATAAAAACGTCCTTCACGTTGAATGGCAATTCAGAAGTAGTAATTTCGTTTTTCGCTTGCGTTCAATAGAACTTATGTAAATATTAGGCACGCTATATAGACACAGAGTGATAAATGTTGAAACTAAATTATGCTTACCGAACGTTTTACGTTATTACCGTATCAACGAACAATATTTTTTGAATTTTACATTTCATATTTTTCCCACGATTATAAATCGTTATCATTTAAAAGTTTCATTAAAAATTTAAACCGTCTCGATCATCGATGTTTGATACGTGATTTAACCTAATTCTTAATTAATTCATATAATATGTATCATACAATAAAAAAATCATGCCGTAATGAACCATATTATTAATTTTTAATTTTTTTATGAAAAAACGAACTTTTATATTTTCATAATGTTAATAAAAGTCAATTTCTTCGAAATTATGACTTTAATATATTGTACATTACTTTCATCGAGAATTACGAATATGTTCCAGTGTCAATTCGCGGAAAAACATTATCAATACCTGACCTTTAATTGCATAAGGAAATACCCACGTTGTTTACTATAAGCGATTGATAGAGAAACTAGTAGAAACGTGGAGTTTGCGACACATGTTTCATCGTTTTTTCAAATTTCTTCGAAACTAACCTCGAAATTCAGCTGTTTGATAATACGGAATGTTATCGAATGTCAATGTTGGTGAACAGGAGCAAACATATGAAAGTATATGTTTCTTTAATGAAGTTAGTAATAATGAAACCAATTCATGCAGATACGTTCATAAAATTTACATAAAATTAAGATTAACAGGCGGTTAATTTAGTCCAATGCATAAACATTTAGCTATTATCGATGTTTTTTCATTTTCATAAAAAAAGATAATTTTGTAACGTTTTATTTGTTAACGCTAAACACAATTCCTCTGCATGAGAAAAAATCACATTAGTCGATTATCTTTTACCATTTTACCATTCTTCGGAACTACCATGTTTATCATAGAAGCAATATGTACCCATCTTTATCGTAAGATTTCAATTTCTTTTCTTTCCTCTATTTTTTCCTTTCTTTTTTTCTCTCCAATTTCTAATGTTAGACGTTTCTAAGAATAACATTATCAGATGTATCTTTCCAAGAGATTGACTTATCTTTCCGGGCATACTTATCTATAATAGTCATTACTACTTAAGGTTCGTTTAAACAGTCCAGTTTGCTCGTTCATGTTGCTCCTGAACGAATTTTACATAACACGAGATCGTTCGAGCAAATGAAAGAACGAATAGTAATACAGTATAATGTTTGATGTATATTCTAGTAATAATACATACATAGTAGCACTATGTATAGTATATGATATGTATGGACGATATAGAAGGAACACATTTTTTTTTAAATGAATGCATCAGTTGGATCGTAATGTGTGTTAATTATCAATGTAAATATGTTCAAAACTGTACTTAGTTTTCAGAGAAAGAAACGAAGGCGGAGCCGGTGAATTTAAGGTCGAAGGAGTCATTCGAGAGGGTACCGTTTATCACAGCAGCGTTGACCCATCTTGGATTTTACATCCTTATGTTCCTGGGTTTTATAAATCAATTGCTTTTCACACCGAAAGTCGCACAAGAGTACAATAGGGAGGTAAGATAATTGCAACGAACTTTAACCTTAAAAAAAATTGAAAAAAATTATCAAGTAATTTTATAGTAAGATTTTATAGTAAGATAGTTCAAAAATTGAACTCATGAAGGTTAAAAATTCGTCTTTGAAATTGATAGCCTAGTATTATCTGGGAGGGTGAGGAGGTGTTAACCTTGAAGTGTCCGTGACTTGTAAAGGTATCGATTTCCTCTTCCAAAATCTAACGGTTTTTTATACTTATTTACATTCTATTCGATGTATTATGGCGTACAGTGGAACTCTCAACTGTATTTTTGAATAGTCCAATTTAAAAAATCAATTTTTTTATTTCTTCGTAATCACATTTTTTCCAAATTAGGGAATCAAATTAACTAGTAAAGAATAACATCGTACACGAGTATTATTTTATCGAAACGGTTAACGGATGCAAGAAGTGACCAAGCTATAATCGAGTCGAAAGAGAGTGAAATTGATAGAAAATCGTTCGTATTGAGAGGGATATCGAATCGATTTCGTTCGAGTTAAATTACGATTGTCGACGTGAGAGATTCGATTGATCCCGTTGCAAAGCAATCGTTAACCGTTAAACTGTCGCGTTCCAGGTTTCTTTCCTGCGGAAAGAAATAGTCGTACAATTTTCACTCAGCATAACGTACTCCGCGTAATTTTTTCTTCGCGTTATTCTTTTTTTTACTGTCGCGAGATAAAAGGGATCTGTGACGGTGCGGCGGTGTACATACTCTCGAAAACAAACAGAAATTCCAATTGCATTATGGCGTCATTCACGATTGTTGAGAAACGACCACCGGCTGAAAATTTTGTGTCAGCAAGAAAATCATTTAATCGCGTTAATGAATCGTTCTAATAAAAAGACCATACGACTGAATTCAGAAAGTGAAGGACATTTAAATAGTTTATCGTGATTCTTTGCTAGTTCGACAAAAATTTCACAATTTCTTTTAATTCAGGAGAATGGAAATCATAGATAGAATTGAAGCATTCGTTATCTAATCTCGTGGGTCTAACGATAAGTATTTATGTGCATGTACAAATGTTATGTAGCATTGATAATGAATAAAGAAAAAATCAACCAAAAAATGTGAAACTTTCGCATAGGTTATTTCTTTCAAAAATCGTTACTTAAATTTAAATTTAAACGACGATTCTTACAGGACGTTCAAAAATACACGATGTAAACACCAATGATATTGGAATTCTGAATTCTTTTCGAAACAATCGTTGTTTAAATTTACGCTTAAACGACGATTTCTATAAGGTGTTTCAAAATATATTATACGATACAACGATTTTTTACAGAGTGTTTCAGAATGAAGTCGAAAGTTTATAGAGAGTATTTCAAAATATATTATATAATACAACGATTTGTTACAAGGTGTTGAAGTCGAAAGTTTTTAATTAAAAAGTACTTTTTTTTTTTATAAAATGGTGTCAATAAAGGTATAGTTAAAATCTGTTGCTCTTTCTTAGATGTAGCATATATTTTGAGACAACCTGTAGGTGCTCTAGTGTACTACTTGCGAGAACAGTGCTGTGCGATGTTCTATAGCCGTATACAACATGTTGTCAAGTGGTCTGGCCGATAATCTATTGTCCGATCTTGAAATATTCAAGCAGATGAATTTCAAATTTCGCTTGGTGTTAGAAAGTTTCGTTGAAAAACTTAAAAATTACAGAACTATAGAGAAACGCATAATTCATATATTTCAAGCATTGTACTATCTATGAGTCTATCAATTTCTTATTCCTTAAGAAGATAGTATCCTTTATAGGCGTATAACATGTAAACCTTGAAAAATATTACATTTCTTCTGTATAAGAAATAAATAATTTATTCTTCTGCCATGTAATAACCTAATTTTAACACGTTCAGGACGGCAGCGAAATTCACGAAACGCTGGCTAATGTCTCGAATGTCACGAAACGTCTCTGATGACCCAAGTATGTATTATCATTAATACTTAATTTTTCAGGATGTAGTCTAAAAATGTGGCGATCCACCGTTGGATTACACTATCTACTCGATCTTTTTTGCACATCATTTTGAATGACTTATCGATGGGTCATGTCGGCAAACAAGAGTATCGATGACCCACGGTGGGTCACATCGTGCTGAACGTGTTAAAAAAAAGTATTGCACAAGACTTTCCTCCAACCTGTTAGAATTGTTTTTTTTCTTGTAATAATTACATTTTATTAATAATTATAGAAAGGTGGGAAAATTTAAACTTTAAATAATTCAAATTTAAGCGAGAATTTTTGTATATTTCAGGGTTACGGGCCACTTTATGACAGTTTCGAAGGGTTTTACCTTCGATACGTGTACAGGAGAGTGAGGGATTGCTGGAACAGGCCGATATGTTCTGTTCCGGGTGCCACAGTTACACTTAAGAATAGAATAACAAAAGATTACGGATGGACGTTCCAGTAAGTTTAATTAGTTTACCAAGAAATAAATCACAAGCTTTATCAGTGAAGAAGTTAACAAGAATACCTCTTATCATATCTAAAGTCAAGCAAAATTAATGTTTAAATACAATGAATGATTGACTCATCGCCGATTTCTTTCACTTATCTGCAATTATGTAACATAAAGTTCCTTTCTATGTAAACTTTTTTTATTCTACCGAAATTCAGTTAGTTCTAATACAATTTCTACTTAATTTCAAAGGAAATCTGAGATAATATCAATGAAAAATAGCACAGATCCGAAAATCGTGGCAACTCGATTGGAGATACAGGAAGGCAGACATTTGTCTTGATTAAATGTAATGAAGAACTCGGCGAGCAGCAAGCACGAAAACAGGCTTATAACTAGGCAATCAAATTCAACTGTCTTCGATTGGTTTCCATCATTTTAATCGTCGTTGTCTAATTCCCAAGAGAGTTTCCATTCTAACCTCCACCCCTACAACTTTTTATTCCATCTTTCAAACTACGAATTTCCATTTATTGCCAATCTTTCAAAATTTTCTCTGTGTTGTTTAGGTTCACAGGAACGACCACGAAATGTATAAATTTAGGATCATACAATTACCTGGGCTTCGCGGAGTCGGACGGCACGTGTGCCGATCAAAGTATCGAGACCCTGAAGAAATTCGGTTGTGCTAGTTGTAGCACTCGTCTCGAGCTCGGTAATTAGATATTTTAATCTTCAATTGTCATGTAAAATTTTTCTTTATTTATTTTCCTTCAGTTTTAAGAGGTCTGTTCTATTCTTAGGAAACATGCCTATTCATGAAGAATTAGAGAAATTGACGGCCAGGTTTCTAGGCGTGGAGGACGCAATCGTTTTTGGAATGGGTTTTGCAACGAACGCTCTTAATTTGCCTTCCTTGCTGAGCAAAGGTTGTTTGGTACTGAGCGATGAAAAGAATCATGCTTCGTTGATTCTCGGATTAAGGCTGTCCGGTGCTACTGTTAGGGTCTTTAAGCACAATAGTAAGTTTAACTGAAATGGACTAAGTACAGTTCTATAGAATTCGTTGAATATCTTCAAATGTGGAATTTTCATATAATAGGTGTGAAGCATTTAGAGAATTCTTTGAAAACTGCGATAGTTTTCGGCCAACCGGGAACTGGGGAACCATGGAAGAAGATAATGATCGTAGTAGAAGGTGTTTATTCTATGGAAGGTTCTATTGTACATTTACCTGAGATTTTGGCGCTCAAGAAGAAGTACAAAGCGAGTAGAATTATTCGTGTACATATAATTTGATTTTAATAATACTTAAATGTTAATGTTCAATTTAATATTATAGGCATATGTTTATTTGGATGAGGCTCATAGCACTGGTGCAATAGGAAAACATGGAAGGGGTGTTTGCGATTATTATGGAATTGATCCACGAGATATAGACATACTTATGGGAACTTTTACGAAAAGTTTCGGATCTGCAGGTGGTTACATTGCTGGGACAAAGGTGAGAGAAACAATTAACCAATTATTTACAATTTTTCTCAGTATATAAAAGTAACGATAATAATGATAATTCTGTAATTCTAGACATTAATAAATCATTTAAGGATAAACAGTCACGCGCACGCCTACGCTGCAGCAATGTCTCCACCCATAGCGCAACAAATCATCACTTCGATGAAGATAATTGCCGGTGAAGATGGCACAGACGAAGGAAAGAAAAGAACGAAACAGTTGGCGAGGAACACCAGATACTTCAGGCGTAAACTCAATCAGATTGGCGTCATTATTTATGGAAATGAAGATTCGCCTGTTGTACCTATGCTAGTTTACTTGTTTTCTAAAATAGGGTACGTATTCACGATTAAAAGGTAAATCGGCTGTGTGAGTTGAAAACTGAAATTACCATTATTATTCAAATTAACAGTGCAGTTGTGCGAACCTTGACGACACATAATATAGCAGCAGTTGGTGTTGGTTTTCCAGCAACTCCATTGATGGAAGGCAGAATACGATTTTGTCTTTCTGCTGCGCACACTAAACAACAATTAGATTACGTCAGTATATACTCTTTTCAGTTTTGGTAAACGTGTTATTACTTATATTACAGTTTCAATTTTATTGTTTTCTTTCCAGGTATTATCACACATTGAAAAACTCGCAGATTCTCTGGGTCTAAGATATTCTCGTAAAGTTCGTAATCCAGCACCCGTAGAGTACTATTCTGATGAAGAGACCGAATGACCTGTTGCTACCTAGAAAATATACTCTCTAGGACATCTACTTCGCTCCGAAGAAGCGCCTCATACTTCAATGGAGAAATATTGCCTTGGAAGAACTCTACACGCATTCTTTTATATGCTTTTCCATTGACGCACACACTATACCTCTTAAGGAACAAGGTTACGAATCCCGAATTACAAGAGAAGATATATCAATGTTATTTAATAGTCGTGGCCAAGTACCTATTCATCTCTATTTAACACAATATCAAGAATTAATGATCTTTTATTTTATAGAAGATACTGCTTACTTCTACTACGATATAATATCTATAACGCCAGTAGAAGTATATCACACGAGTGAGAAAGAATTTTTTAAATTTCTCGATACGGTCTACAACGAATTATGGGATATTAATGGAGAAGTCAAGAGTGCGTCAGAGTTCAGTTGCCCTGTATCTTACGTGCACCAGGCTCATAGAGGCATATGCACATATCGGTGGCTGTGATATGCCAACAGATCCTAGGTCCACAAGGTAGTTTTAACAAGTAACGTTTACTCAAGTAGATTTCTTTTTCTCTTCCACTCCCTTTTCCCGTCGAGTCAGTAGATAAGCTAGAGATGTTCGATATTTTTCTAACGGAAGAGAAAAAATCGAACCAAGATTTTTCTGTGGATACTTGAAGTTCTTTGGCGCATTCTGCACCGGTTCACTGCGACAATTGCATTTATTTTGTATTGAGCTTTTACATCGAGCTTTTTTAACCCTTTTGCTGTGACAAGTGTCTCTTAGGCAGTAGTACGTTGTGTGCAGTAGCGTAGAGCTTTGCAGATTTATCTACTTTCCATAGTTAGTATTCTTCGATACATATTTAAGAGAGTTCACACAAATCCACGCACATAGCAATACACACATACAATGTCAGTTAAGGTGAGTACTTGAAATATTTAACGTAAAAAAATATTCAACTGCATACAAGCATCGGAGACGACACTTGGAGATAAATTTGGGATATTCGACCCATATTTGTCTCGAATAATAATCTTCCGGTTTTTGCCACAGCAAAAGGTTTAAATTTAAAAATGAAGAAAATATGTTTTTTTCTCTTTTGAAAATCGTACACGTTTATACAATTTAGATTATTATTAACAACTTATTTCTAAAGAATGATTTTTTGAACAATTGTATTGTTTTTTTTTTTTTCATCTTTCTCT